TTGATTGAATATTGTGGCTTGTGGGTTACGGTCTTCTCCTCAATTCTCATGTCTTATCTGTTTTCAGAATCCGACTGGAGGCTGAACCGAAAAAGTTAGTGGTTTAGAGTTTAATTGTTAACCGTTATAAAACCGTTGGTAAATTATTCATGATATATAACATACAAGACTTGTATGTTACACTAATTTGGGTAAATTACAAGTTTGGTCATTGAGATTACTAAAAAGTGTCATGTTTAGTCACTAGAAATATTTAATTCCAATGTTAGTCACTCGAATTAGTCAAATAGTTCATATTTGGTCACTCTCCATTAAAACCGTCAATTATTTGCTGACGTGGTTAACAGAAGTGTTGACTCACTATATTTAAACCGGCTACATCACCAAACTGACCTACCATGTCATCTTGCCCAATCCAACCCTTGAACCCAACCAATGAACAGACCCTAAGCCGCCCAACTCTCCAAATCTACTCCATCTCTCATCTCACCCGCCCCCTGGATCTGAAACTTTCGAACGAGAAGACGACGCTAAGAGCTAGGAAAGCCCAAGACGCTTCAATCCCAGTTTGGAATCCTCTTTGTCATCCCCAACATCGTCACTGTCTGTAGTTGGAAAAAGTGAGTTCCGTTCGTTGTCTTCACCGACGGTAAGAACCAATTGGGAGGAGAGAGGATGGGCAGGGGGAGCGCTGACAAAATTGTGTCGATCTAGGTAGAAGCCAACACCTCGATTCGGACGACAGAGGGAGCTCTAATTCGGCAACGATTTTGGATCGGCGGCAGAACTGGCTTGAGATGGCCAAAATCTACGTCAATGGTGGAGTTAGGAAGTTGGATAAGGAGATGGCAACAATGTAAGCAACATGCGAGGATTCATGGATGTGAAGTGTGCAATTAAAGGTTGGTGAAGGGGATGAGTCGATGAGGAGCAGTAGCAACGGAGGTGGCAGAGTTGTAGATGCGAATGATGGATATGAAGACTAGAGGAGAAAACGAAGCTCGGACTCGTTTACCCTTCAAGGTCGGCGTTTCGTTCAGTGGCACGGGGAAGTGGAGAAGAAAGGGCAGCGGGTTGGTGGGATAGAGTATAGGGTCGGGTCCTGGGTTGGGAAGGGTCGGGTCACAGGTTGGTTCGTTTTGATGATGTGTCGGGTCAGATATAAATTTTTTGGGTTGAAAAAGCTAATTAGGCATTTCTGTTAGCCACGTCAGCAAAAAACTGATGCCGTTAACGGAAGCTAACGGAGAGTGACCAAACGTGAACTGTTTGACTAATTCGAGTGACCAAACGTGTACTATTTGACTAATTCGAGTGACCAACATTGGAATTAAATATTTCTAGTAACTAAACATGACACTTTTTAGTAATCTCAGTGACCAACCTTGCAATTTACCCCACTAATTTAAAAATGAAGTTATCATTGATCATAAACAATTTTAAATTCATATTATCACCAAAATATCTAATAAATCATTGAAACTGTCTCACAAAAGAAATCATAAGTTTTTTAATTCAAGTTAAAAATTATGGTGCCAGTTGGTAGTGGATCACTTAAAAACAATAACAAGGTTGAAAAATGAGAAGACGTATATAAAATAAATAATCATGACTTGATGGTTTTAATTTACGTTAAAGTATTTTTTTAAAAAATTTGTGCTTGAAATAGTTAACTAGTGGACTAGTTAAACCGCGGTGGTTCATCTGGTTTTATGCTGAACCGTGAAAAATTGTTTGGTCCATTAATAACCGTCCAAGCAATGAACCGGACCGTTATCATAACTGACAGCAAACCGTTGATCAGTTCGATTCTTATAACATTGCGTCTTAATCTACTGACATTTCATAATGCTTAGGAAGAACGTTTTTTCCGAAATGATATGGTTCCTGGTTTAGCGTTTTTTTTTTTTTTTTTATCATCAAACTTTGTCATTATTAACTACCACCCCTCGCAAGAAATGAACTAGCACTTCAGTCACTTTTACTTTACCTCAACATTATTAGATAATAAATAGCGCATGTTTCATATAAGGGGTCCAATGGGTTGCGGGTGAGTCTACCGTATTCTTCCTACAACCCACACAGATCACCGTTGATTCTTTCAACTTTAGATCTGAACTGTTGATTCTGTTTTCGCCTTCCGTCTCCCCTTCGTTGTTTACCTGGCGGCTGCCCAAGTTTGGCCGTTCAGAAGGAGCAAAGGAATTGGATCCAAGGAAAAATTAAAGGGATTTCGGGATATGTGGCTTCTACCCCGTTACCCGTACTCACCCCCACTTCTTTCCTTCCATCGATCTCACCATATCCAATTCGTCATCCCTTGGTCGCCTGACTAGACATGGGCGCTGAAGATAGTCGACTCTGCTTTGCTTGGGCATTGCTGAAATTACAGGGGCATCTCCACATCTTATTAGGGTTGGGACCGAAGGATTCTGGAGAGGAAGAAGCCAGGTCTCAAGAATGCTCGCAGGCTCCTCAGTTTTCCAAGGAATCGAGTTTTTTTGTCATCGGGAGAGTTCAATTCCTTCAACCAGACACCCTCCACAGTCCGCACTCCCTTCCCTGCAGCTCTTAAACAAGTTTGATAAATGGTGGTTGCATGTTACTATTATTTCATCTAAACAAAAAAATTAATAAATGATTTTCCGGTTATAGATTTCATGCGCCCCATTCTTTTGCATGGGTGACACATGTTGTGCAAAAGAAAAACATGCCACCTGTTCATCTTCATTGCCCTCTTTATTTCCTTCGATTAATCATCAAGACTCACCTTAGGAATGACATTGGGACACGTCCGAATGAGGATGTTGATATATGATAAGTGTAGTTAAATTTAGGGAATACTGGGGGAATATTGGGTTGAGACTGGATTGAGATAATAACGTACAATAACATTTAAACAATTTGAGTAAAATTATATATAATTTAGGGAATACTAGGTTGAGAATGGAACGAGTCAGAATAGGTCAGATCGACAAGAGGACCTATGCCAACCCAAATAGGTCGATATATTCATCTCATTTCACGTTTTCAATGCTCTTTTTGGTTAAATGTTGAGGTTTTATCATTTAATTTGTTAAAATCCACATTAACTAATAGATTCCTTACAGGTGTCACTCTTGCAATTATTTCATCGAGTTATGCTTGGTATATATTAAGGGTGTTAGCAAGTAAACATAAAGTGGAGAAAATGTATAATGCTACAATGTTTGATGTGGAAGCGTTATGTATTTGTAGGGTAAAATATATCGAGTACCACTAAAGTATGAGAATTGGAGGAGGTATACCATTTATGATGAAATTTCGTGCATGTATTTATTTATGATTTCTTCTGCTCTCTAATTCTCTTTCTGCTCTACCCATGATGTTCGCATCGGATGCACGGGAATGCGTCTATTTCTTACGTAACAATTAAATTAGATGTATTTTGGATAATCATTTGATACTTTACGTAATATGGTAATATTATTCATTGCATAAAAGACTATCAATTGTATAAGGCTTACATAACGTCGTTTTACATATGTTATGTACGATATAAGGGCATTACATAAAGATACGAAATGACAATTACTTCTTACAAAATAACTAAATCAGATGTATTACGTAAGTCTTCCTTACCGATATTAACAATTTACATAATGTTATATTGATAATAGTTAAGTAAGAATGTTGTACATTAAGAGACTCACTTTGTGTCATTTCACAATTATTAAGTACGATATACATTGACTGCAAAAAGATTGAGAACAATAAGCACAAGCGTTCACAAGTCATCTTATTGTCATTCAATTTTGATAATTGATAATTTGATACTCTATTGATCTTTCCATTTTGGCAGAATATGTGATTATTTTATTAGTTTACGGTAACCCATGAAAAACTCTATGTAAAACTGTAAGCTACTCTATTTGAATATAACACCATCTCAAAAACCAATGTACCCACTTTTGAACCCCAAGGGCTGTCCCAGTATTATGAGTTGATAACAATATTTATTCTGTAAAATAACAATATTCATCGCATTTATACTAAAGTTTCTTTTATTGATTGTTACAAAATTGTTTTCTTGCCTCATAAAATTGGGGAATATCTTGATGTATATATTATCATAAGTTCAAATGTTCCATTCAAAATCAAGTTGTATAATCATAATACAAATATTTACTCCAAAATCATACTCAAGTCCATTGAGGCTAAATAGAATGAGAAGTTAAAAATGGTCCTAAAAAGATCTGCTTCAAGTTAATATATGATTTCTCTCGACTACTAAAGACATTCACCTTAATTTCGTATTATTACTTTTCAATGCTAATGGATCAATTTGTTTTCGAGAATCCGCTGCGGAGTGCGGGCCAATTTTCTAGTAGGATAAATGGCAAGTTTACACTGAAATTACTAAAATGTATTACATTTTGTCACTAAAAATTATAGGTTTGATCACTATAATAACGGTTACTTTACATCAACATAATGAACAAACGTAACACTTTTTAATAATTAAAGTGACGAAACTTAGAATTTACCCATCAACATATTTAAATTTTAAACTGATCTATCCCTTAACTATTTTACATTTTATCTTTATTTCTTATCATAGAGAATAGCATAATGATGGGGTTGGTTACTATCATTTAATAAGCCTTTTTCCAAGTTCTTGCTTGAAAAGCCAATTGAGACAGACCAAAAAAAAAAAATCAGTATAATATCATTGTATTTGCTAGCCAAAATAAGATCGAACAACCCCCCCCAAAAAAAAAGTAACTAAAACAAGAACTCGTTGGCTGTACAAAACGAGAATGGTTTTCCAGTCAGGGAGCAAGGATCTGGAAGCCGTAGTTGATTTGAAACTGAAGCTCCTTCTTATGGACGGCGCGTGAGTAAGGCGCCACCGCGGCGGCCTGGGCTCGCCCCTTCCGTTTCTGAAGGAACCTCTGCAACGATCTCTTCATCGACAACAACCCCACCGCCGGAGGAGTTTCCGGTGAAGCCGCCCGCCGCTACGGCTGCTCGTCCCCGGGGCTCGTCACCCATTTGTCGTCCGCCATTGATGTACTGCTACTGGGCAGCATCATGATAATGGCTCTGGCCTGCATCTCCGTCACGTCGTAGACGCGGTACCTTCCGTTGTAGAAAATCGTGAGCGGCTGTTCCTGCTCCCGCCGGCTGTGATCGTCGCCGGAAGTCGCCGGTGAGTGGAGGCTGAGCTCGAGGTTGCAGTTGGGTCTGCCCTTCTTTTCCATGAAGAGGAATTTCAGAGTATTTGCGGTTAGAATTTGAGAAGAGAAGAGATGGATGAATGTGTTTGGATTTGGATGGTTTTTCCAAAGCGTGGCTTCTGTACTGATTATATATATATAAAGGAGGTCGCAAGTTGCAACCTTTTGGTGTGACGCTTTTGACGAAGCAGCTGGTTATTCTAAATCGTATCTTATCTTATTTTATTTGCTAATCAGAAGAAACGCTAATCGGCCACCGCCACCAGCACACCACCTCTTTTTCTGATTTTTTGTTAAAAGAAAAAATTAATAAAGTGTCCAGATTCGACTAGTTAAAATTATAAAGGCACGTGAAAAATCTTCCTGTATGTGCGGAGGTGGGGGAAGTGGTGCGGTCTCTGCTCTGCTCTACTCTATTCATTTTCTGTTCTGCACGTTTTTTCTGTTCGTTTCTATTTTCCTAAACGTGATTTGTAGTTTGGAACCAGTCCTGTCCAGTCCAGTCGACATAAATAAACTAATTTAACATCGTGTTTTCTATTTTGATCTCCTAGTCACAGACCTAGTAGTGGGCCTCTATTATTCCTCTTCCTTTCTCTTTGTTACCCCTAATTTTGGTTGTTTGCCCATTGTTCTTGTATAATTGTGTGCTAGGTTTAGATTGGGGGATTTCAATCCTAGGGAATTAAACTCTAAATTCTCGTTTAAAATGTCATCAACTTACCATGTAGAATTTGACCGAAATAACTTGTTCGTATCGAGATCTAGAATTTGAACCTAAAATTTCAAATTACATTGTTGTTCTCTTCTTCTAGCCTTCGTCATCTTCTCCTAAGTTCTTCATTAGTTCATTATTTTTTCTTCTTTGTTGAATCATCCAGATCACATAACATCAATTAACCTTGGCCCAAAACATGGCCAGGCTTGGTCCACCAATTTTCAAAATCTTATTCGTGATAGTATAACCAAGAGCTAATCTATCTTCTGGATTCAACCAAGATTTCTTCTCATGCTTCTCATTCAACCGAGAATGCCACATAACCAATGCTCCTCTTCTTCTTATGCTTCTATCCTAATCCCAAAATCCTAAAACGTAAATCGACGATGAAGAAGAAGAACTCCAAACCCATAATTATATCGATGAATAAGAAACCCGACTGACTACCCTTCACTATTGGTCTGCAATTGAGAGATTCGAGCTCGGACCAACGACAAGAGAAGAAGGCGATGGCACTAGATTCTCTCCCTGTGACTATTGACAACCAAATATTTGGATATTCAAGGCTCCCACAACGCTCCTCTAGGAAAAGCTCCTCCAATCAACAATGGGATCGACAACGATGAGATTACTGAGACCCATTCTTGTCAACTCAATGATTCTTTTTCGTCAACAAGATTGTAAAGAGAATTAGAGGGTGACACTATTCTTCTTCTTCTTCTTCTTCTTCTTCTTCTTCTTCTAGAAGGAAAACCCATCACATTGCTACGATTTATGGGCCATAATGGAGAGAAGATGGGTTTGGAGGCAAGAGAAGTGAATTCGGCCTAGAAAGGAGGAAGATCTCCCATTGTGTGAACAGAAGGTGTGAACAGAAGGTATGAAAGAAATACAACTGTGAAAGAAATATCATGTGTGAACACAAGTCATGTGAGGGTTGATTTCAAGGCTAGATTTAAGGGTTGAAGAAGTCAAATTTGTTTCATTTTCATTGTAGCCACTACAAGAAACTTCACTTTTTGCGACGAAATTATTCGTCGCAAAAGGTAAAGAATTCGTCGCGAAAAGGTATCTGCGACGATATTGTCCGTCGCAAAACAATTCCAAAAGTCGTCGCCTATAGTGCGTCGCTAAAAGTTCTGCGACGAAATTTCGTGATTCGTCGCAGGAAACCTAGATTCGTCGCTGAAAACATTCGTTTTTGCGACGTGAATTTCGTCGCAAAACTGCTTAATTAGCGACGAAATTCGTCGTCGCCAAAAGTTTACATTTAGCGACGGATGTGTTCGTCGCAAAATAGAAACTTTCGGCGACGGACCTTTCGTCGTCGCGGATTGTTAACGTTTTTGCGACGAATATACCGTCGCTGATATCTTAACTTTATTAATGAAACTCACATATTGCGACGGAATTTTCCGTCGCTAAAGATAAAATTCGTCGCCAACTCCAGGCTTCTTTTGTGGCGTTGCCCCTGCAATTATTTTCTGTTTCAATTTTTGGGGACAAAGACACTAACCTGTTCTCATAAACATCAGTCTTTTATACAAGATACTAGTAACAGTTGTTCAAATTTGTAGCTTTAACATTGATTTATACCCACCATATAGACTACTACTCCGATCTCGTTCTCACATATAATCATCCATAACATTTGGAATAAGATTAGTAGCTCCCTATTTCTAGAGTTATGCACATCACATGAACAGATTTCACGGCACTGTACATGCTGCCGAATCATCGTCATCATTGTCCATGTCAAAAAATCAACACTAGTTGATAACCTGCACAAAAATTCAATTGCACATACACAGTTATTAACTAAGTTCTTTAGCTAACGACTAAGTTAACTTTTGCTAATCTTTATACATATAAAGTTTCAAGACTTCAAGTACTAAGAACAATAGAATCTCAAATAAATGAAAACAAAGTCCAATTTCCTACTTCCTACACCACTACTGCTACAAATAACCTAAGCTAGCAAGCTAAACATGACCGTGTGGCGTTGAGAGACAGAGGAGGCAACAATTAAACTTATCTACGTAGCTAACATGATCAAGAGAAAAGCACAATTCAAGAATCAAGAGTAAAGTTCCTTCTTAACTTGTCACAACTTCCCCTCCCTTCCTTTCTTTGTAAACACTCACGCAAAGCCAAGAAGGCATAAAGGAAAATGGGAATTGATAGAATAAATAAAGACATGAAAGTGGGACTGGGTAACTCCAGTTATAGTCACAGACTCACCAAACAGCTAAAATCGAGAAGATAGGGAACACTATGGTTGGTAGCTGCAGAATCTTTGAGAAGCAGAGCGTCGACGGGGACAGAGGCACAGCTTCGGGGCAAGGGGAAAGAGTGCCAGGAAGAAGATAGAGTCACCAGTCGATGACGAGATCTGAAACAGATTGGAGGCAAGTAGAGGGGTTAAATGGGCGTTTTATAACACTGCACTCATGAAGGAAAACCTCACTTTTCCATTCGTACTTGTCCTCCAAGTCGGCGGGGAGAGATTGAAGAAATCCTTACCGGGAACTCTTGAGCTCATGGATGGAAAGAGGAATTGAGAATCAGTACGAAGAAGGAGATACGACGGACGAAATCGAGGAGCACGATCAGAAAGAGTCCATGGGGATTAGCCGCCAACATCTTTGGAGAAACAATTCTCGATCGATATCTCCATTTGGACGAGATTTCTTTCAAGTTCAATGAGACGTTCTAGGGTTCTCAGGGAATTGGGGGAATGAAGGAGACTAGGGGAGGCCCGATACCAAAGGAAGAATTTTGTAAATAAAATAAAAAACTATTAAATTAAAAGTGCAGAGAAAAGGTATGCAAAAAATTAATATAATTAAAATCTTTTTTATTATAACACCAAACGTCGCCGTTTCTATGAAATGATATTTTTATGATCACTTTTCTGCGACGAAATAAACCGTCGCCAAAGGAATACACATTTCTGCGACGAAGGTGAATGTCGCAGAAAAACCCGAACTTTCTGCGACGAAGAACGATCGTCACACAAAACTTCCAACTTTCCTGCGACGACTAAATTTCATCGCAAAATATATACAAGCTTTCTGCGACGGCTGTACCCGTCGCAAATATTTCCAACGTTTTTGCGACGAGCTAATTCGTCGTATAAGAAAATTTTCCGTCGCAGAAGCCTCTGTCATACCTTCTACTAAATTGCGCCACATACGGCGACGAACTAGTGACCTCCGTCGCAAAATGTGTACTTTCCGCGACGAATTTCTTGTCGTCGCAATAGAATCCATCGCAGAAAGTACACTTTCTTGTAGTGAGCACTTTGTTTACTTGTTAGTTTAGGATTTTAGCTTTCTTTCTTAGTTTTGATTTGATTTTCGTTGCTTATATAAGGAGGACGAATTACATGTATTTTTCATCAAGTTTTATTCAATCAATTCAATAGTTTTGTTCAAGTTCCATAGGAACGTTTTGTGCAAGCTTCTGTCGATGATTCCAGAAGTTTTCACGTGTCTCTTATCAACTAGAAATCGCGTCTAGTTGTGGCGAGCGTCGACCTATATCAATTGCCCCTTTCTACGAGTTGGTTCTGTCCGATTGGTTTAATATACCAATTGTCCTTCATCACGAGTTGGGATTGTCCGATTGATTCCATCCTATCTTTTATTTTCGAGTTGATGAAAGGCGACATCAATATAATCAAGAAAGTCGAGGAATCAAGAAAAGATCGTTTTCAGAAAATCAAGAAAAGTTCGTTGAAGCTGCGTACTTTGGTCATATCATCCGAGTTTGAGATTCTCATCCGAGAGGCTTCACAATCACCAAATTCCACGTCCTCGTCGTTGGAATTTCCAAACCCACACCTAGTGTTAGTTTCACTTCTCACCTATCATTTGGGATAATATCTTTCCTTTTTGCCTATGTGATGATCATTGTTGTTTATATAGTACAAATGTTTCTTTATCATCAATGCTTATGATCCTATAGTATGCCTAATAACACTCAAGTCGGTGTTATTTGGATCCCATATTTAGGTTTTTTTGGAGTCATTTTATGTTCTTTATTGTCAATATGTCATCAAATATGCCCTTGATTCGTTCCCTGAGAAAATAGCAATGTCCTAGGGTGTATTAGATGATATGAATGTTTTAGGTACCAAAAGTGGGCACTGGTGTAGAGTTATGGACATAAACTTAGAGATCACGACCAAAGGCAAGAAGATCATGATCACGAAGCGAGGGTGTGAACTAGAGATACAAGATTACGACATCTGCATTGAAGATCACGACCGCGGAGAAGGAGGCTGCAGTCGCAAACTTTTGGA